TTCCATTAAGTGGCGAAACTACAATTTTCATAAATATTTAAAGAAGTCCATTTTAGTGCATATGCATAAAAATAAGTCAACAGCCACAGGGCTGTACTTACCAGTGGATTAGCTCTAGACTCAACAATTTCAACATTGTTGTAGTGAAAAGAAGCTGAAATTGCTGCTTGTTGAAGAAGTATGGATCCAATTGAAAGAGTTGGTGCAACCAAACAACCCTGACATCAATGCCAAAATTAAGTAGAATGGCATAATATATAAACGTGCCCTTGACCTTAATTGGTGAAATTGTTGTGTAAATTTGTAAATCTCACCCTGCACCCTCACCGTGCTGGCCTTGTCGCATAACATAGATAAAGCCATGACAGTTTCCTGCTTAATTCTGGGAACGTAAACAACACTATTCATCCCAAATGCTGTTGCCTATGAAAATCATAAATTTCGCCTTCTCAATTTTCGATTTTGTTAAACAAGTAATATTACTAGTAAGAAAAGATTGGACCTGTTTGACATTGTCGTAAACTGTAGAAGGGTCAGTGAAATCAATGACTACTCCCGTTGCTTTTAACTACAATAATTGAATTTCACAAAGGTCAATTCAAATATTCAATAACATAATTTTTGACATGCTCGGACCCTTCACCTCCTAACTCTGAGATTGTAAGTTCAAGTCATACCATACCCGCGAAGCAATAAAAGGTTTACCTGGGATATTGAACCCAAGACCATGGTAAGGTCGTTAATTATTGGTATTTCTAGAGGCTCTTCCATGTCACAAACCTGAAATTAATAACACAAATTTTTTGTTTCAATTGAATAGTGGAGACAAATTTTTTGTTACAAGTGAATAGTGACCTGCCCAATATCTTGTCCAACAAAATTAGAATCAACAGCTCCAGCCAATTCCATTCCTCTAGCTTTAGTGACAGCAATAACGGCAGCTCTGCCAATTTCCTTAGCAGCTCCATTTATGATTACCTTCACATTGTTGTTTTGAGATGATGAGCAACAGATGAACGGCTTTGTCTTTATAATTTTTTTAGAATTGATAAAGTATGTTTGGCAGCTCAAAACCGCCATGGATATATGATTACAGTCTTTTGGTTACTCTGTTTCTCAAAATTTGGATAAAAAGTTCACTTTTTTTTTTGTGTTAAAAGATAAGGTTTTTTTCCTGCCTTTCATTATGTCCTTGTTGGGACGCGCACGTACTTGTTCAATTGGACTCGCCCGCGTAACGGTAACGGTGATAGTGATTGACAATAGTGGTGATTGCTGTCGTAATGATTGACGGGGGCATTTGTGATTTGTGCGATGAATGTTGATAGATGAGCTCAATTAGTTGAATATCTAAACTTTGATCTTATTGGTGTGAGTTTTATTTTGTATCTTATAATCTCCTTTCAATTTTTTTTTTTCGTTTTATGATTCATCACCAATTTTAAAAATTTTTTTTAAAAAAAAATTTATTGTGCGTGACTCCGCCATTGGTTGATGGTGGTAGAGATTGCTGGTGAAGGTGCTTAGTCGATGTTGAAGGTAATTGTACGATGATAATGGATAGATTAAAGTAGTAACAAGATATTGTATGCATGAATTTTTCAAATAAATTATGTCTTAATTATTGTATCCTTTTTTATTTTATCTTAATTATTGTATGATAATTTATGATATAATACATATTTTGTGAAAGATCAAAATTTATTCCGAGCATATAAATGATTTGTCAGAGAAAACAATTAAATGTATATTTAGTAGGTTGAGATGTGAACACTTCAATTTCTGACCCATTCGTATAAGTGAAATTAAATAGGGCTTATACCATTTTTAAAATTAGGGACCCTAATAATTAAGTTGAAAAAAAAATTAATACCAAAATTTGGGTCAAGTGTCAAATAACTTGAAAAAGTATGCATGTAATACATAGGTAGAAATAATTAAGAGTCAGATATATATTTGACTTTTCGATTTTGATTTATAAGTGAAAAAGTTATAAGTTAAAATGTGAACTAAAATTTGATTTTAATTTTAAATATATCGATAATTTTCTTCTTTCTTACATTATTCTTAATTTAATTGTTTACACAGGTTGTTTGTCAATATTTCTGTTATTCATATTAATATTATATATGAGTAACTAAAATTATGTATAGCTGATAATTCTGAGTAACTAATCAATACAAAAGTTACAATTTGACAGAGGAATTAATAAAAAAGGAAAATGGATATCCGAATGATGTCAAATAAATTATTTATATCTTTTGTTATATTTTAAAATAATAAATATCTTTATTGTTATTTGAAGAAAATTGGACCTTTAGCTGCGACATAAGTGGTCACAAAATCTTAGATTATTGTCATTAAAGGTTTTCATTGATTTTTAGTATTAGATTCTAAGAATAGTTTTATATTTTTTTTCATAATAGGCACATTATCTCTAGAAAATCACAAATGACGTTGATTAAGGAGAATTTTGAAGACACTACATATTTTTTAATTTCATGTCATATGTAAATGCATAAAATGTAAAATAATACATTGTGCAATAGGAGATTTGAGTTAAAAAGGTAATTTAGAATGTTTTCGTAATAATATTGAATATTTTTAATATTGATAGTAAATGTATATATTGATTTTAGATATTTAAGTTGTAATAAAAAATTAATTACTATTTCTCTTGTTGAAAAATAGATTTTATTGGCGACTTTTAGTTGCCACTAAATATTACTAGCTATTGTAGCTCTCTAATTAACACCTAAAAATCTGTGAAAATCATTAGTGGCGATATAATTGAATTTTGTGATGATGCAGTCGTCGCTAAGGTCCAATTTATTGTAACAAATCCTACCAAGCAATGTTTAGGTAGATGTATTAGTTCCACATGATTTGTTACGTTACTTAAAATTTGTGTCAACTCTCGACGATATCTTTAATCTCTTAAATTAATAACAAAGTATTTTTTATTTATAAATATAATCGAGGATATAAATAATTTATTTTATATAATTCAAAAGTAATTTTGATTTCTTTTCTGATAAAACAAAATGGACTACATCACCTATGCAACTGTAGGGTGGGCTAAACAAAAGGACATAACTACTTACACCAAGTTAGGTGTGTTAAGGATAGGATCGATATAATCAATGGGAAATACTATCAATTGCAAAAATTATTTTCTCTACTTTTGGTACTAAAGAAAGTTATTTTACTAAATTTTAAGGAATTTAATTTCCGATAGAAAATATATTAATTCAACATGTGAAACACTGACACACACACAAATTTATATATTATTATTATTATTTGAATATTAGAATTGTTTTGTAAACAGAAAAAAAATCAAAGTTATTAGGAAGGTGGAGGTAATCTCTTTAATTTTTTTTAATTAAATAAAGAAAACTGCTAATTTTACAAAACAATTATTTGAACAAAAAGATGTATTGGAATTTTTCTATATTGAGAAGATGGTAGTGTTCAGTGTTGTTTTTATCAATCCGTCAAGTATAGAAAATTTTTTTAGGTGGCAATTAATAAAGTGATAGAAACACAAACGGAAAAGCGGAAAATTAGGTCTCGAATTTAATTTATCAGTCGAAAGTTAATTTAAAAGAAGAATAATTGTCTAAGTCTTATAATGAATTCATTCATCTCATTAACGATTAACATGAACTTTTATCATTCTTTGAGAAAGAAAAGTTAAAAATAAAAAATAAAAAATTAAAGTGAAACTAATTAAAGGTGCCAACTACTGGAAAGAAAGCTTGAAGAGAACCACATTTTGTATGATATATATAATATATCATCTCAAGAATTGTGATATTATAATGAGTATAAATTTTTTAATTTTAATTAGATACGTTGGATATAAAAACTGTTAAACACCCTCCTAAATTATCTTTTTTCCTTTAAAAGCTTTGTTGTGCGAATTTAAATTATTTAGGTTTTAGTATAATGGGCGAATGTAAAACAAAAAGCATGATAAAATTACAATTTTTTTAGTTATAATAAAGTCTCAAATATGTTTTTTTTTAAAAAAACTATTATCACCTGTACTCGGATTAGGAAAAACAGAAATAGAAAAAGATGAAATAGATAGAAAATAAATAATCCGAGTCTATAGAATCCATTGTGTTTCCTTAAGAAACTTAATCTCCTCAAATACTTGAGGTTGTAGATTAATTCCTCTAAAAATAAAACGGATTAACTATTAGAGAAGTAGTGGTACCTCAAACTTTAATAATTTCAGTGAACTCAAGAATAACTACGCGAGCACACACATACTCAGTCAATCGACAATTTCATTTGTAAGAAAATGTATACAATTTTTTTTTCAGTGTTTGAAAAATGAGAGGTCTCTCTCAATTTATAGTCAATTGCAGTGTAACACCTCTAAAACGACTTAGGTGAAACTAGAGCCTAACAAGTGCGTCATGAGGTTTTAAAGTCCTAAAATGGTTTATAATAATGTTTTAAGGCAATGTCTAAAGTCTGGTGATGTTTGGAGGTCAAACGCCTAAGAACGTCTATGACGTTCGAAAGATTTGCCTTGAGACGTGCTTGTAGGTGCGCCTTTGCATGTTTTACGTGTTCGTTTTGGTTGAAATTGATTTAAGAGGTCCCTAACATGTACGAATGTATTTAAGTTGGAAACGCCCGTACATGACTCTCCAAGGACCAACTTAAGGGTCCTTGAGGAGGACCCAACTTTTAAGCCAAAAGCTGTCAAAACCAGCCCAATCAGTGGGAGGCAATCGACACCCAGTAGGTCAGTCGACGCCCCGTTGTTTGAGGGTAGGTTGACACTTAGCCTAGGGAGCTTGAGACCCATTTGTTGAGTCTCTGACCCAATCAACGACTTACCAGCACGCCTCGTCGATGGGTCTACGCTCTCGTAGATTGAGGCGTCGATTCACACTTGTAGAATTTTCTAAGGGTCTCGGCCAAGTCTTGGGCATTTTAGATATTTCATCTAATGTTTTAAAAACTAATTGGGTGGTTTCTTAAGGTTATCATGGGTATTTTAAGTAGTTTTATAAGTCTAGAACCCTTAACCAAGTTCATTATTCAAAATCAAAACCCAAACTCAAAGAAAAACTCTCTAGAACACCATTGAAGCTTAAAGGGAGCTTGGAGCTTGGAGCTTGATTCCTCCATCAATTTTCTCTCAATTTCGTTGTTTAGCATCAATTAAGGTTTGATTTTCATCCTTGAATCTCTTTTCTTCAAGAAGACAATCTTCAAAGTGATTTCAAAGATCTTTTCCAAAGATAAATTATCCTATTTTGTAATCTAGCCATGTGTTCTTGCATAAAATGTTTTGTATCAATGTATTATGGTTGAATGAATGTTAATTTGATGATATTTGACTAAAAAGTCGATGAACCCATGCAAACCAAGCAATCCTAGTTTTGACTATATTATGGGTGATATGATTATGCCTCAATAATGTTGATTTCTTGTGTAATTTGATGTAGGCTATTGAATTATGAAAGAAACATGTTAGAATTATATGTAGGCTATCCTAAATTGATGAGTGCATACTGTCTTATCTAGATTCATTGTATGATTATTGGGTCGAATTGGTGACTATGACTATTGATAAAAACCTTTGAGTATTGAGTTAGTTAAATTGACTATGGTTGTGAGATTGGATTGGTGGAATATTGATAAACTTCTCTATATTGTGTAGTATAGGTCTTGAATTATGATAATGTTTGGTATGGTCCACTTATGGTGGAGGTGATTTTGTATTATACTTGTGAATAATGTGGCCTCGTCGGCATTACTTTACGAATTGTGAAATAATGTGGCCTCGTCGGCATTACTTTACGAATTGTGAAATAATGTGGCCTTATCAGCATTACTTTATGAATTATGGTATTATCATGTTATAACATGAATATGTGACATTGTGAAGCTCTATATGTTTTATGTGTATATGTGAAGTCAAAGTATGTGTTCTTCTAAGTGATTAAATGTTATCATGATAGGCTATAGTGATGTCTTATAAGTGTATACTTGATATTGGAGTATGAATCTTCCTAGTTGACTATATGAACATTATGATTAGTTACGTTGATGATTCTATAGAAGTGTGTAGAGTTACTTACAAGTACACTTAGTTGACCTTATATGCTACACGAATGATATTGTACATGTGATAAGATGGTAATGAAGTGTGTCTTGTTTTGGTAGACCTACGTTCCTTACTTGATACATGAAGAATGTGGATATGAATCATGACTTAGTGGGCTAAAGCACCTTTGTCATAAATGTATATGTATGATAGAACATGATCTTGAATATAGTTAAGAGGTCATTTATGTGGAACCTTCTAGAAAAGAGGTTATGATATCCTTGAAGTCGAAAATCGTAATGATATCCTTCTTGTATGAATGATGGACTTAGGGGTGGTTGACTGGAACGACATGAAATCATCCTTAGAAAAGTCATTGAGTTATCCTAATAACCATTGTAGGCAGCCCTAGTGGACCCTATTTGGTAAGGTGTGTTATGATTGAATTATGACTAAGATAGATACCTCTTCATATGTTCCTTTATTGAATTACTGTATGAGAACAAAAGCTAGCACGAGAGAATATTCTTGGGGAATAGCTCTAGTTGAGATAGAGATTAGAGTACAAAAAAACCCTTGATATTCCTTAATCATGTGCCTACATGGGTTATGTCCTAGTTCTACCCTTGGCAAGTAGAAAACCCTCCGCGGAGTAGGGTTGACTCCAGATTCCATGCCTAGCTAGTATGGTGTATGTCGGTTATTGATTATTCTCATCATGTGGGATACATGTCAATGTTGGATAAGTTCTATGAAGTTTAGGTAGTTGAATGAGACGCTATCTAGACATTGCACGTGTAGACTTTGAAGATGTAGGAATGTAGGTTTCCTAGGTCTTCTCTGAAATCATTATGTGAAAGTCCTTATTGTTGAATGTCTCTTAAATAACTTAATGAACATAGTGACTTAAGTTAAAAGTATGTTAATGAAAAGGCATTTAGCTAGATTAGTTTTAAGGATTGCTTAGGTAGGCTTGGAGAGGGTGTATGAGCGTTCTCTTCATATCTTACCTAGGTGAGTTTTAGGTAGTCTTTAGGATCACTTTGGTGTGTGTGAAGGGGTTGTATGGGAGGTCGCTTCATAACTTACTCAAGCGAGCCTTAGAATCACCTTTCGTAGGAGGGTCTCATGGTTATTTGAATCGAAGTGATATTGATGTTATATTGTGAAATGTGACTATATGTGCTTATGTTGACTTAATATGATCTCTTATACTTGTTTTATGAAGTTTTACTTAAAAAAAAGAGCATGTTTTATATAAATGTCCTTTTAGCATAATTTTATTGCATTACACCATACTTAGTGCATACTAATGTACTAAATCCATATATTTTATCTTATCTCTAAAGGTGTAAGTGGCATTTGAGAGAAGTCTTGAAGTGAAGTTTGGACATTAACATTCCATTCAAGCAAATGTTGGTATGTCCTCACTAGATTCGAGGACATCACTATGTTTTAGTTTTCTTGATTGAAAGTATTGCAATAGACTTAGATATTTGTATATGTTGATGTATGAGTCGTATCCCAAGATATTCGTCTGTCTTAGATGACGACTTTGAGACTTAGCCTTTCCTTATGATTTTCTATAAAAGAGATATTTTGAAGTATTACTATTTCGTGTGAAATTTTTTAATCCCGCACTATTTTTATACATGCATGTAATGAATGATGTCAAAGGGCTTGTATAAGACCTCCGAGAGGTCAAGTACATCGTGCCGCAATCCGAGGGAATGTCATGTTTTCTATGGTGTGCTTACGGGTCGTGACATGCAGCAAGAAACATCTGTTTGAACAAGAGTGGAGGAACAATTCCTTTCGGAATGACTTCACAGTTACGGGTGAATTTATCAATTATTTACTTAAGCCAAAGCCATTTAATGACAACGATGCGAGCGGCACCTTCTACTTAACCCTTTAAGAATTAAAAGAAATGTTTCTTAACCCTTTAAAAATTAAAGAAAGTATTTCCTAATATAATGATAACTTTTTTTCAACTTCTACTAATAGTAGATAAATGACTTTTTCACTTATTCCCTCCAAATTGGTGCCCCTCTTAAATTTTTTATGGCATGAATGCTAATATAAAAACCGTATCTATTATATATATATATATATATAAAATCATGATCTTTTGATGCGTTATTAAGATTATAATTAGTTGACTTGCAGTTTTTCTAAATCTGTAAAACTTATAATAACACTTGAAATTGGAAAAGATGTAAAAATGTATAGCTGTAGTGCATATGCGAGTTTGATTATAGGTTAAATTTTATATTTGCAATCTCTAATTTGGTTATATTATATCCACATACAAGGATTTCATATTATTTTGCACGTAATTACAACATTTTATTTTATTTTCAAGAAAGAGTTTGACCAAGACTCAAATGTGGATACAACATCACCCTTACCTAACTAGTTGATTATATTAACTTTCATTTTGTCCCCAAAAAGATCGATTCTATACTTTAAAATTTCTTTTCTTCCTAGGATGAACTTTTACTGTCTATTTAATTTCCTCATCATATTTATTGTGAGGATTTGCCTCAGTGATACATATACTTTGACAAGACAAATTCAAAGAAAAGTGTCATAACATACGTTATTTGTGTATGATATAATTTTGATTAATAAGATTTAGAGTTAAACTAATGCAATAAAAATAAGCTCGAAGTACTACGATAAAAATAACTTTTAGTGACAATAGATATGCACATAAAAAGAGTGTGAAACCCTTTGCCGACATCAGTTGATTGTCATTGAAATCGTTCTAGGCTTTATGGACATTTGCAAATTAATGAGTGTTAATTGTCAGTTATCACTAAGAAAACATATGTAGAGGCAATTCTGTTATTGTCATTAATTAATTGCAGCTAAGGATCATTTTTGATGTAGTATAGTGCAAGTTTTGTGACATAACACATCTGGATAACATGAAAGCAGTAACGTACGTAGAAATTTTTGTAAGTGATGTCGATATATAATAATAAATAAAGACATAATTGATATGATAACACTATATTAATAAAATTGTTTAAAATTTACTTACAAATAACAACAATAATTTAGATGACTAAGTTTTAACTTTAGAACTTATTATTCTGTTTAATTTCATTTCGAACAAATCACAAATTACTAAAATATCATAGAAACTATATTCTAGTTCAACTGGTTCAACTTTTTTTATTAGGAATTGAAGGTTGTGGGTTCAAATCTCAACAATATCAACTTTTATACCTGCCTGAGGCTTGAACTCAGGCAGTTAGGACAATTACCGCACTCTAGCCGAATGTCAAACCAGCAAGGGAAGCAACACATTTCGTTAGAAAATGTCATTTAATTTATTTTATTAGTAATTTTTATTTTATTTTTCAGATTATATATATATATAATATTAAGAATTTTTAACGAAGCAGTGTCGGGTGACACCCCTAGACATAGAGTGGGTCTGCCCCTACATGAAAGTGAGGCTCGATACATATACCATCCAAACAAGAGGTAATTCAAGTATTTTGAGTCTACTATCACAGAAGATGGAAGATTGACTTTGATTACATCATACATCATATTGGTGTATGGTAAATAAAATGAAGGTTTGTATTTAAAATCTTATGTATAAGAAGATGTCGTTAAAAGACAAGTTTTATATGGTGATGGTTAGATCTACGTACTGTGCTGGTCAGTCAATAATTTTTAATATTGAGAAAATGAAAGCTACAAAATGATGATACTGATCATATTGATGTGTGACATACTAGAATTCAACGGCGTAAAATAACTATGAATTTTAAAATTTAAGTTATTTTTCAAAAAAAAAAATTTAACCTATTAACTTTTTTTTAATTGGGAGAGTGGCTAGTTTAGGGGTAGGGGCCAAGATAAGGACAAACCAAATTGATTTTTTAATTTCTTCTTTTTATTGGAAGGGTCATGTAAGGAGTGGAGTAAGAAAAAAAGTTGTAATTTGAGGTTCGACAAAGACTTTTGAAAAATATTTTCTTTAATTTGAAGGGAAGTTATTTTTATTAAATTTGAGAAAAATAAGTTGATTTGGAAAATATTTAAAACAATCAAATATGAGAAAAAATTTAAAAAAATATTCTTCTTCGTACCAAATACACCGTATACGTAAGCTCGCACCAACGGTGTTTATAACATATATGTAATAAGATGGAAAACTAATACCTTGCTAATTGTATGGTGGTATTTCATCATATTGGATTCATTTAAGGGCAAAGGTTCAAAATTATCCCTTTAATTTTTATTTTTTAGTTGACTTTATTCTTGTCGTTAAAATAAATTTGTTCTTAGTCACGCAGTTTATAAACTTATTACTCATACCCTTTAATTGAATAGAAAACTCCAAATCAATTAAAATTACTTCAAGTTAAATTAAAATGACATGTTTCTCTTTTAGTCGGAACCTCACCCACTCGAACAAATTAATTTATACCAAATTAAATTGGCGTTTGGTCATAGATTTCCAAATGTTCTTGACAAATATTATTGAGTGAAAATTCTGGGTGAAGTTTCACCATATGTTGGTCATAGTATTTGACAAACATATTTTACTTTTGTAGAAAAATATGATTTATACCCATAAGTTTTAAGAACTATCAAAACTGACTATAAGTTTGTATTACAATTCAACTGGATGTTCTTTGCAATTCCATGACGCTTAGAGCAATGTGGTACTTTGGAGTGAGTGCAACAAGTATCATTCCATACATTGTAAAGTAGACAAAACACATTAATTTGTTACATTGAGCCTATTGTTCATCATTTTTATCAATAATCATATCATCATTAAATATTTTCTGAAAATTTCATCCAGAGCCGACTCTCTGTTATTGAAAATAAGGCCTTTGCCTTAGGCCCCCAAAATTTCGGGGGCCTCAATTTTTTTGTCAAGAATAAATTATGTGTCGAAAATTTTATAGAAAAATTGATTATTTATGATAAAAAGTATAATTTTTAAAAATATATTATTTTATCCTCTTTAACCTTCTTTGTACTTTTTAAAAATAAGAATTAATAGTGAAAAGTGTTGAAAAATGTGAATTACAATTTTTTTTTGTTTCTTTTTATATTTTAGTTTCAAGCATTACTACAAGTATATTAAAATGAGCTATATCAAATGATGAACTTCTTGAGTCAAATTCTATGATTCAAACTCTTATCTTTATTTAATATGTGTCGACTTATTACTTATAGCATTATGTTGACAATACGTATAATAATTGTCTCACTAAAATGACGTTTTTTAATGTTGAGTTGATAAAATCTTAACGAAAACTAATAACTAAAAAACGATATTATATACTGATAGTTTTCATCTAAATACTGTAAGAAAAATAAATTTTGAATAAATACGTATATAAAATTTATTTATATTTTAGGCCGCAAATTGAAATTTCGCTTTAGGCCTCCAATTACATTGAGCCGCCCCTGATTTCATCATTATTTTGGTGTTCACATAAAAAAAATTATGTAATACAACAACAAACATATAGAGACTATTTTTGTAAAAAATAAAATTTAGGGTAAAATTTCAATTTTCAAAAAATTTCAAATAATGAGATTTGACTTAAATACTAGAAATAAACTAGTATTTGAGAATTTAAAATATTTATCAAATAATAATAAATTGTATGAACAAATACTATTTACAAAAACTTTTCAAACATTATTTGAAAAATCTATGACCAAACGGGCCCTAAAACTTTAAACCCATCTCTCTGATCTTACTCATCTGTTACTCATTAGTGGCGGTGCACTTACTAGTTCAAGCTTTTTATTGATTCCTTCCATCTTAAAAAAAAAAAATGATTTCTTCCATCTTTGACTTAGTTGTTGTTTTAATTTTGAAATCAGATGTTGAAATTACTTGGTTTTTTCATTTTCTTGTCAAAACTTAATTTTCAAGTAGGGCAATTTTATGATTAAATATATTTTGAATTATTGTAAATGGTACGTAGATATCCTTTATCATATTTTTGGGATATTAATGTTTTCGTTATATAAAAATTAAAGTATATTTGTCATTCACGCTAACGAAAAATTATATGGGAACACATGACACAATCTTGTTCGTCAATCTTATATTTAATAAACATCGAGTTAGTGAATATGATTGTGACACGTGCATGTCTGTTATTATAAAAGGTATATATGCTTTAATTTTTTAACGGCTGTCCCAAAAGTATAACGAAGAATATCTGCATATCAGGACATTTTATATATTGGTGATATTTAAAAAAAAATGATCAATTTCCTTATTAAAAATGAAATGGTGAGATTGTTCCACAAAAAAGTAAAATTGAGCAAAGTGCGTCCGATGATTTCAGCATCAAATGTTTCATGGTGGAAGGAGATAAAAAAGATTAGAGAAGTGAGTTTGGGTCTTAATTTAATATGAATTTATTTGGTTTAATGGGTTGGATCGAAATAAAAGAAAAAAATATTTCATTTCAATCGAAATTGAATAATTTTAGTTGATTTGAGACTTTCAATCTAATTGAGGGGTATGAGCAATAAGTTTGTCGTCAGGGAAGGTAAGAACAATTTCATTTTAACGAGTAAAATCAACTAATAAATGAAAGTTGAAGGGTTATTTTTTACCCTT